GTTGATGCTGACTTTGTAAAGTCATGAAAGAGCGTTCAAGTATAGGTGTAAAATTGCTGGTATAAATGTTTTGGACAATTGTTCTGGAGTTTCCAGATTACGGAATGGTGCTACTTAGTAGTGTTCGACTGTAAAAGACAAGACTACAGTAGACCTTAACTAACAAATGGTGTCCTACTGTCTTCAACTTGTATTTAACTTGTCAGTCCTGCATTGCATTTTATCATGGACGTAGCCATTCTTAAAGGTGATTGTATTAGTGCTTTTAGTGCATTTCATGCTATACAATTTTATAAGCTTTATATGGAAAGAACTATATGCGGTATATTGCATATATTTGCCCCCCACAAAAGTCAAATTTTGAAAACTTCCTGAAATGTGCTGAATTCAATAAATTATATGAGAAATATAAATTAACAGAACATATTATTGTTTCAAGATAGTTTATTCACAATTTTTGTTTTTATGACGTCACAAACTAGTCCGATTTTATATCCTTTTTCAGAAAGAGGACAAAATGGACAAAATTTCAACAATTTTAGCTTTAAAATTTATAGAGCGCAAGTTTGTTTAGGAACAATGTTTACATATTTCATTGATATTATCATTCTACACATTATATCAAAATATTGAGCCTGAACACACATGCGCTCGGTGACTTTTACTCAAAATATCGACAAAATATGTACATTTTTCTGTAGAATTCATAAAAAACTGAAATTTACGTCATGTTTGTGACGTCATTTTGTACATATGACGTCATTACTTATGAAAATATTCAATGCTTTGAATTCAGCATACACCTCCCTATTTAAGAACATAATTAAATATTTCTCCATCAAAGTTTGGTTTGGGGGGCAAATATCGGTTATTACCGAATAAAGTTCTTTATTCATTTTAAGAATTGTTCAAAGCAACTTTTTGTGTTTTTGGGGGGTATTCTTTCTCTCATGATTGAACACGGAAAAAATGTGTTTACTTTACTCATAACCTTTGATCAATTAAAGCTATAATTTTTTTTTATTTCAAATTTATAGTTCCTGTGTTTAGACCTTTTATGGGGTACCAACACATTTTACCTTTGGTTTTGAGTTTGGGCAATTTTACCAAAAGTTTCACAAACATAAAACCTTGGCCATAACATTTTAGTGGATAAAGCATGCTCTACGTACGGTCAATTGTTGAAAGGAGGCAAACTATTAACCAACAAATTTATGAAACAAAGATACCAACGACAATCTACTTTAAAATTATCCTTTTGCAAATTCTATCGTTGATACAATTATATTGTCAGCACAGCAAATGCAATCTATTATTCAGTCAAAAGCTGACTGACTTTTTGATATGTGGATTACTTAGTAGTAGTTATTTGGCCCTTATTTACACACTGAGATATCTACGGATGTTCCCGTTTTCCCGAATTATGACAAGGAGCACACGGCGAGGGTGATCGGTCGACAGGGGATGTTTCCTTCATCACGGCACCTGATCCAGTTTCTCATATTCTGGAATTCCTTGTTGCTCTGCATCAGATTTGTTTTATTCAAATGGACTTTTGAGCTTGAATACTGTTCTTTATATCCATATTTCATGTCGCTAGTGTTTTTTAAATTTTATTCAAACAAGTATTCTTTATGCCAAGACCTTTACCAATATTTTTTTTTTTTTGCTTTCTAATGTTTTCCCTCTTTTGAATCTAATTTAATTGTTTATCTGTGACCCGAGAGAGTTTTGCAGTTTGGAAACTTTAACCCTGGCCATGAGCTTGGGGCAGTTGAGTTTCACGAACACATTGTGCATGTAACTGTTTTCTTTCGTTATTATTTTTTATCTGTGAATGTAATTTACTGCTCTCTTGATTATGTTTTAAGATTTTTAGAATAAATAGGCGAGCTTATCTTACGACATTTCTTTTTACTTTAATCGAGGTTTGTAAAATCCCTATAACATTAACGGATAGGTTATCCATCAGTAGCCTGCCTCAGTTTAAAATCTGATCCAACTCCGTGCATACTCTTAAAGCTGAACACGATTCATAATAGGAATTTTCCCGCTTTATCTGAGAGCCCTTATATAAGCCGCTCGCTTAGTCACTGTCCAGTGTAATCATTTTCCACCTGTGTAGACAGAAGGATGTTTGATACATAACTCTCGGTAGTGACAAAAAATAGCCATACTTCTTCCTCGGCAAGAGAGAAAGATACCAAAGTTTCAAAGTAATAAAAATGGATTTAACAAAGTAACATGTTGGTGACCAATCACAAGATAAGAAAATTTTCGACTTCCGTTTCATTTATTTCGTAAAAACTCATGTGATGAAAATGTTTCAACCTAACAAAAATGAAATTAACAAAAACTCATCATTTAAATTTCTACTTTGTTATGCACAAAAAGGAAGCATAAAAGGTTTTCAAGTTTTTTCATGGAATTTATTTACCAGAATAATCAGTTACAGAGACAAGTTTTTCTGTGAATTCTTCAATTCACAGATTTGTGCCAATATGGCAATATTTTGAAAACATGTATTTAGAAATTAGTATGACTTAATCCAAATCAATTAATAAACATCTTATAGGAAATTCTGTGATAAATCATGTAACAAATTTTAAACACAAATACTTCTACAAATTTTCTTTACCCTCAAAAGTCGCATTGAACCTAACCACTACATTGCACATTATTTGCAAAGCCCAAATTTAGAAATATATTTAGAAATCCTTTGTATTCTATATTTTCATGTGTTTAAGAAGGAAAAAAATCCACTCTTCTGGATATTTTTCTCAAAGATTTCGGTTGGCAAGAAATATAGCTATACAAGGAAACAGCTATATTGTAAGATGTGGTGTCAACTGTGTCAAGGGCAGTAACTCTTACTAATGACCAAAAGAATTCATAAAATGTTTTAAAGATAACAAAATCATTACTTCAAAGAATGATACTGATTGATGGAAAGATTTGATTGTACTTGTGTTTATAGGTATATACACAATGTATTACTTGCAATACCCCCCCCAAAAAAAAAAACTAGAACTGTCCAATAGGCTTTGACAGTGAATTTCATATACCATTTCGCTGGGTTTTTCAGAGAAGGTGCCAATTCAAAAATACTTTATGGATCTAGAGATGTTCACAATTTACTTAAAAAAATTTGCAGTGAAATAAAATTGCTCATCATGTTTCTTTATGAATGAAACGGAGGTGCAACCAAATGAAACATCAATACTAATACATTGTAATTCCATTGTAACATTTTTTTTTATTTTTATCATTTAATTTTTCTTCATTACTGCGTTAAAAAAATATATTGCAATTATGTGTTATGTCACTCTGCAAACTGATTGTTGAAAAAAGAAACCATTATAAAAAATCAAATTAATCTTGATATATCAATTTGAAATGCATTTTGAAAATAAAGAACTGGTCATCCAGTAATGAAGTGTTTTGACAGACAATAAATTACAATTAAGAGAATAAGAGAAGAGAGATCTTTAATTCTTGTGCCTTATTCCCTGAAGATTTGATAACACACACACACTTGATAAGAGATATGCCTAAACAACTTCCAACACCAAACTCATTAATTTATCTTTAACTGGATGCATGTCCAGTCATTATTCCCAAGAGACAAATGAAATTACATTATCTTCTGTGCAATGTAAAAACTGTTTTTAACACTTGATGTTTCTTTTTTTTTCTTGCTCATTATAACTAAGTTTTTATGAGTAGTTTTAAGCTGTAGTTCATGTTTTTGTACAGATATTCTAGATTCTATGTCTCAAACCTTATACATGAGCCCAAAATGAACAAGTCAATTAAAATTTTAAAAAACCTGTAAAATGCAGAAAAATGAACAAAAAGAGTTGAAAATTCCAGGTGCACAACTTCATATGATGAATAATAATTGTACAAATTTTCAGATTAATCCTTGCAATAGTTTCTAGAAACGGTTAAACAAAACCCCAAAATAAAAATGAAAAAACACCTGTAAAATTCAAAATAATAATCCAATCAAGATGAAAAATATCAGGTGCACAACTTCATATGGTGAATAATATGTGTACAAATTTTCAGACAAATCCTTCCAATAGTTTCTGTGTAATGGTCACTATATAAGTCTCGTCCCCACCCAACGGACAGACGGACATGGTGATAAAATTCACAATTTTGGTAGAGGCACTCCTAAACTTCGTTTGCGGGGGGTATAAAAAACACACAACTAAAATCAAAAGTTATGCAAGCTTTGCTACAGTGAATTTCATATACAAATGCATTTCATTAAACTGGGATTTGTGTTTAGGTTAATAACTATAAAATCGTTGACACATCAAGTTTTTAAGAAATGCTTTGTTACCAAAACACATAATGGAATGTACCGGGTATTATATTTACAAATGATTCTGGCATCGTACATAAATTGTCTCCGTTAGGAGACCAAGCAGATAAAATGTGGCACATTTAAGAGAAAAATTAAACATACATAGGACATGACACTGGCACAGCCTAATAGTCCTTATACTATACTGCAAACAATAGTCACAATATAAAACAGTCACAGGGCATTGTTTGATGTGAACAAATCACATGTATGATTGATACCACACATAGCTACCTCTCAATAAAAAAGTTTCATACAGTACTGCATCATTCACACACAAACAGATGTTCTATATTACATAAATACAGACATTTATAAACAGAAAAATCTGATGAACCGAGGTCTAACATACACACAATAAATATCAACAGCATAATACAAAGTTCAAATACTTTCTTCAAGTGAACTGACCATGAGAAAAATCTCACTATTCAAATGTCTTTTAAAATACATCTCTTACATATATGAGTATCTAAAATATGTACGAATCTTACCAATAAAATTTTAACATGATTCTGTTAGATCTGTAGGAAGTCAAATAATTTTAAATCTAAAATTTTGAATTATTTTAAAATTTAAAATTTAATTGAAATAAAATTTAGACATCATCTGAAATTAAAAAAAAAACAAACAAACCAAATAACCCAGAAAATCTGAACAAATTATAACCTAACTATTGCATTGTGTTTACATTTGAAAATCCCAGCTAAACTTTTGACATTTGGGATATTACATGGTGTTATAAATTGAGATACAATTTGCCACTAGCCAGAGTATACTGAGGAGATAGAACACATGCACTGCAGTGGCAGAGGGTATACATCAGCAGATATAATCTGGAAATCCCCCACTGCTGACTGGTCAGTAGTTTTTATACTCAGTAATATCAGCACTGCTGACTGGCCAGTAGTTTTTATAAGTTAGTAATATCTGTGTTGATTGTTTCCACTGCTGTTGGTGAGTATGAAGTGTCAGATGGTTTATATAGAAGACTAGGCTCTCATCATAAGTCATGTACCGGCACAAAGAACGCGGACAATGCGAACACGAGAAAGACTACTCCTCCTATTAATGTTACTGAAAAATAAAAAAGATTTATAAGAATAATCATGCAAATAATTAAAATTCACATCATAATGACATTGCATATACAATATTTCAAATACTTTTCTGAATTAAATGTAAAATTTAACTGCTAATAATATTTATTCAAAAGGATTTCATATTCTATATTTAGGATAAGAATGCATAAATCTTCAACAATTAAACATGCAATAAACATTTAATTAATTTTGTTAATAATGTTGAATTTATGAATGATTTGACAACTACACTCACCTGTTCTAACAGAAATTTTTTGAGCTACGATCCTCCCTCCTAACACCGCTATACCGGTACAGATAGCGTGACCCAGAGTACCCCCGATAATGACCCCCATAACATCCTGTTAAAAAATACACATGTATTTAAAACACTGAACATTCATTAGTCTACTTTCATTTTCAAATTCAGCAGTTCAATTGTTTATCAATGCACTTACAGATCAGTACAAACAAGTGTGTCAGCTTATATTTAAATCCAGCTTATTGTCACGAAAACAAACATAGACTAGAAAGAGACTATACATACATTAATAACAAGACATTTAAAAGACTCTTAAAGACCTTTTTATACTTCCTTAAACTGCACAAACAGTGACAACTGATCTTTTCTAATGTTAAATTATTCTTAAGACTTTCAAAAGTGGATGGGCGGACATTGTGCATATAACATTTAAAAAAATTAATCAATATATATCATAATAAAGATTATTAGAAATGCGTTTTAAATATTAAAATGAAAGATAATTAAATGTTTAAAATGTTTATTTTCATTGGTATATAATGTGAAATATCATGAATGGAAGTGGATTTTAGGACTTTGGGGTTTTTTCTATTATTCAAAGGGTTTTTTTATCATTTAAAAGTAAATAAAGAAAAGAAAAAAATCATGCAAACTGCATTTTAAGTGCAGCTTGCCTTGTAAACATTGAAATGCTAAAAATGAAAACTTTTCAAATGGAAAACCTTATAGACTATTCTCAATAACTTTAAGAAGATAATGGGAGCAACTTAAGTTACATGTAAATCTAAAGCGAATAGCATGGTGCAGCACTGTACCCCTTTTTCTCGGCGCCATGCCCTTTTTTCCAGCGCCATTCCCTTTTTTTCTAACCAAAAATTAATAAATTTGCCCTATTATAGAGTAAATTAAACAAAAATTAAGGAATATTAGAATTTCTCATCTAAATTTAAAAGGTGACAAAATCCAAACTTTTCTCACCTCTCTAGCTGCTAAAACAATGGTTGTAATTTGAGATCTATCCCCCCATTCTGCTAAAAACGTCAGCGTAAATGCTTGTAGGAATATGGTTCCCAGAATTCCCTGGAACCAGCGGCGCCCTGGTGTACGTATTATTCCTGTTTCTATGTCCTCCACAGGAGTATTCTGCTTCTCTAACTGTAACACAAAAAACGATAAAGACACAGGTCAGATTGACAGGTAAATAATATAAGATTAAGAAACCTTATACATTCAACAATGAAAAGAGTCCAAAAACATTGATGATAAGTCTTTTTTGTGATATGAGAGCAAACGTGATTTAGAAAAGTTTTTGGCATTTGAAAAAATATTATTGATGAAGGAAGACACTTCATAACTAAATAAAAAAAAAATGATTATATTTGGGGAAAAACATCCGAATCTGCCATGATTTTATTAGGGTTTATATTATTAATGTTTTTAAAAAGCTGTCATGAGTTCATTAGGTCTGTTGTTATTAATGTTTCTGTGGTAGTGTATCTCTGACCTCTTCCTCTCTCTTCTTCAGGTCAGCTTGTACTTCTTCATACTCTTCTTGTCCTTCATCAGGGGACATCTCATAACCTGAAAAAGAAAACGTCTTCTAAATGTCACTACAACATACATGTACCACAATCTTCAACATTAATATATGACACACCAGAATTAGGTCAAGGCCTAATAAGGCTAATATTCATGTTGCAAAGAAATTTTAAAGAAGGCCACATTCTTCTTAACATTTATAGACTTCAATATTGTGAATGTACCATTTAAAAGGGCAAACCTTTTACAAAAAGATTGAGACAGAATTCCTGAATGTCAAACTTCTGCATGATTAATGAAGGATAACAAAGTTTTAATTTCTTACAAGGTTAACATTTATCTTCACCTGCATAATGAATTGATTGATGTAGAGCTACACACATCATTGGGTGACCCACAAATAGTACACGATAATGGACACTTATAACATGTATAATCTATCTCTACAATATTGCAGTGGATATATCTTTATTATAGTTCTTACCCTCTTTTATCATCTTTATTCCAAACACCGCAAACAGGATTGTTGAAGCGTAGTAAGTCACTTTCTTTGGTATGATGGTGGTAGCATATCCAAGAAGTGCTGGAAAAAGGAAATAAATCATGCATAAAAAGTCCACACAATTCTCCATTGTTTATGTAGGTAACTTAAAGACTATGCATGATCTAAAAGTAGGAATTTTACTCTGAAATCTTATTTTTAAGGACCTTCTTTACACTACAGAAAAATGTTTTTATGACTAAAAAAATTATAAAAAATAAACATATTACATGATATACTGATAAAGGTATTAATTAACAATGAGTTTTCTATTTGAAGTATTTCATTTTCAGGATATTTGGCATTTAATCTCAGGATATTATTTCAAGAAAATGAAATACTGATGAACAGAAAACACTGTTGTTTATTCAAACTGGGAACATAATGTGTTCAACTGCTTGTCTTGGATTATTCAAATATTACCAATGCTTGCAATAATTACAATTTGAGTAATAGTATCATAAATTTTACTTTATTAGATATAAGGGCAGATTACTTTAACTTGTAAAAAGTCCAATAAAATTATATCTCTTTAGTGTGCTGTTATGAAGGGTTCTACATGTTCTAAGATTTTCAAACATAGTACTTACTGGTAAACAAAACAATATTGACAATTAAAACTAGTCTTACCAGACAGAACTGTCATTAACCCTAGAGCACCCAGAGCTCCGGAGAACACCGTCAGACGTGAATGTCTCATTGCCATGATGGCGGCGATGAAAAACGTCTTGTCGCCGAGCTCCGACACGATGATGACGGACAGGGAGGCGATAAACGCATGGAGGAATCCTAGGTTCCCCTTCCTCTTCCTCAGCATGTGGATAATAGATCCCTCATCTGAACTCTCCTCATTCTGTCGTAGGGAAAGTACAAATATAGTACTAACAATTTAATACAATAGAATTAACACATATACACACAGTAGAATGATTAAAATCCACACTTGAAAATAAAGAGGGGAAAAAAGACATGACATATTTTAACAATTTATGAGATCATTCACAAAATTTAATACATTCGTCTGACAATCAATCTAAAAAAACAAAACTTGGCCTATTACAGGATCAGATCAATAGTAAAGTGACTTGAACAAATCAAATATGTTTCTACATGTTCTAGGCGAACCGACCTTGATGTCAAAATATACGTCTTATTTACATGTAAAGCTAAGTAAAATATGACAGTTGTCAACTACCTACATAAAATGTGTGCTCTGGCACCGTCACATTTCTTACCACTTCGCAAGTGAAAAGTACAAATGTACACAAGCTATGAAAGTATATCAATGTAATACCGTTACCTTTTTAGCATCGTGCTCTTTAGAACTCTCCGACACATCGCTGATCGGTTCTGAGATACTCTCTATCACCAAACAGCTTGAGACTATGAATACGACAGTCAAAATAAACGTAACTTTTCCATTCATTTTAGATAACCCAGAATTTATTTTTTACAATTGGTGAATAAACCAAATAGAGGAATTTCCGAAAAAATCGATATGCGGCGAATAAAAAGTAAAAGGAGTTGTCATTCATGCATTACAATCACATCCTTGGCATGACACTGGCCTGTACGTGAAAGTTTGACGTCACAGTGCGACACCTGTTCACTTCCGGGTCATTTATTTTTCGACTTTTGATCCCGATCATAAATATTACGACAGGTGAAAAGAAAAACTCCGCTGCTCCGTGAGAAAAGGCTACTCTTTTCGACGCTGACTATTGATTACAATATTCATAAACACATAAGCGTTATATATCTCCTTATAAACATACTTGGACATTGAAGTCAAAAGAGCAATGACATAATTTAGGAAAGTGAAGACAGACAGAAGCTTCTAAGCAGGAGAGACAACTCGATCATGTCTACTTCAGAGTGGCCCGAAGTGGTGGGACTAGTAAGTATATCATAATCTAGTAGAAAATAACGTATTTTTTAATTGAAATTGAAAATGTTTAAGTTAACTGTTTATTTTTAAAATTAACATAAATGATGGATATTAACTTCAAATTACTTAAAACCCTTGCTACATTTATCAGTAATTTTTGACGTAAAACATTATACAGTGGCGGATCCAGAAATTTTGAAGGGGGTTGAGGTCAGGGTAGGGGTCCACAGCCACAGCAAAAAATAAAAAAAAACAAAAAAAAAAAAAAAAAACAACATTGATTTGTTAAATATTGTACATAACGGGGGAGGGACCCTCTTCATCCGCCAGTTTATATGATCTTCACATAACTTTAAAGAAGTTGGTCAAAAAATGAAATTAATTATTGTATGTTTGGAATTGCCTTCCGCCTCATTTTTTATTACTCCACCTGACAAAATATTTTTTTTACATTTATCAGGGAGTCCGGACATATATACTAATACATAAAAAGGAATAAATGATATTAATCAGAAAACACCCCTATATTTACTGGGAATAAACATAGTTTGAAAAACTTGAAGTGTTGTGCTTGATGTTTTGGGTAAATAAACATGGCGGTGAAGGAGTTGCGTATCCCATTATAATATAGGTCCCTGCATTTATTATTTTTTGTCCTGTATTCACATGGGTCACCCAAAGGCTAAATTTTTAACTGTGGTTGAATGCTAGGTTGTTGGGAGACACTTTTTAACAAAAAAATGTTTTCACAATTTATTGCTCATGGGATTTATCAAAAGCTTAACTTCTATTAGAAAAAAAACCCTAAGGTCTTTTTTTTGGAATTTGTAATCACATGATTATTGCGTGGACCCTGAGGTCCACGCAGTAAATATATAAGCGAGGTTAAACCGGATGCCCTGGGCAAACGTCAGGATACCTTTTTTTTGGAATTCGTAATCACATGATTATAAAGAATATAAAATTTTGCTTTTAAATTTGCATATATTTTATATTTATTGGCGCATCTTAATATACAAACTAGGGATGTCCACAACCGGGTCTCGATCGGTTACTCGGATGTATATTTTTTAAGATTTCAAAGCTTATTTATTAATGCATTAAACAATCTGTTTTAAAACGTAAAATACTCATTGTACTTGTACATACAGTAATTAGGGTTTCCTACTCCTCTAAATGACCGTTATCGCCCGTGGCAGTGTTTATACAGTAATTACCGTGACCAAGCACCTGTTACCTGGCTTTTCTCACCTTCGGCTGTCTTCTACCCTTATTTAATGATTTGCTTTATTTGTTTCCACTGAACATCGTTTAAGGTCTGTTATGATTAAATAAACTAAATATTACAGTAACATGTTGTACAAATGGTTGAAACATGTAACGTATAAGATCCGAGTATCCAAATATTACAGTAAGTTAAACATGTAACGTATAAGATCCGAGTATCCAAATATTAAAGTAAGTTAAACATGTAACGTATAAGATCCGAGTATCCAAATATTACAGTAAGTTAAACATTTTTAAAAACTTGTATTACATTAGATAATTCACATTCAACGACAAGTTCCTTTTAAAATCGGCATTAGTTTTATGCATCAAATGACAAGGCTTGCAAAAAAAACACAGCAATTCAAATACAGAGGTGTGTGTGTGTGTGTGTGTGTGTGGGGGGGGGGGGTTAAAAAAATATTTTTTTTTCTACACACACAAAAGATTTTTTTAATCGGAATTGAAATTTCATAATTTTGCTATGAATCAGTCAAAGGCAGGTCATTGTGGAAATTTACATATAAATCTATTTTCTCTAGAATTTCCATGGTCGCATATCCTTTTTTTAAAGGACAGCAACTTGTAAAGAATATAAAATATGATATCTTTTTTCTTCACTCCACAGTCTTGGAAAGAAGCCGAAAACCGTATAAGATCCGAAAATATTACAGTTTTTTAAAAATCTATAGCTATAGCCTTTGGAAGTTTTTTTAATCTGAATCCTTTTGACTTTTTTAAAAACGCCGACTCCCTGTATCAAAGTACCTTTTCCCTTCTCCAAAAATATATTAACTTTTTTTTAACTTCACAGATTCAGGTTTTAGCGGAAGGAAGTTGTGTGACGATGGACTATTGTACAGAACGGGTCAGGCTATTTACAGATGGGGACGGGAAAGTAGTTCAGGTTCCCAGGATTGGATAAAAATACCGTGGGCTCTGGCGTACTCTCACTGAAATCATTTTATAGTTAACCACCTTAGATAAGTTCATTAAAGACACAGACAATTTGTTGTGTTGAAATTTGAAAAAAAGTTCAATTATTGACTATATAAATTGAAACTGGATCAGATTTCGACTTTAACTTCAAAGTTAGTGACATCAAATGGTTGTTTGAATGAATTAGATTTTGATTAAATAAAAGTTTATAAAGCTACAGTGTGTTTAAAAGAAAACATTTAAAACTTATCCTATGCGCACCTTAACAACAAGTTTTGTACCACAGCGAACTATATACACTGTATCAGTGAGTGACGATACTTCTAAGACGTGTCATGGAAAAATAATCTATGGAAATGAAATGTGTGGGGATAACGAACAGTATTCGAGCACAAAAGTTCATTAAATATGACAAAATAGGAGCGGAGCAAACACGGACCTCCAAATTGTTAGTCCATTATTTACACACTGAATTTTCCAAGGATCCCCCCGTAATTTCTCGATCATGACATGAAGTACTTGGCGGATGTGATCGGTCGGCAAGGAATGCTCACTCCTCCATGGCATCTGATCCCATCTCTGATATTTTATGAACAACGCCAGTCAGCATTTGATAAATTTTATTTGCTGACAAGATCATTGTATCGACCATAGAACTTACGAAATGATGACTTTAAACAAGACTGCTGATATTCTTCCTTCATCATCTTTTTTGTCAGTAAATTACCTCGTTCTAGAAATTGTTCATAATTATGTAGAACACGCTCTTCTGAACCGAATCAATTTAGAGATCATATGTGCTCAGTATACAGTTGACAATTTAAAGGTATATTGCTGCATAAGTTAGGGAAGGTGGGGAATGAAAAGTTGGTGTCATCATATTTGTCACAAAGCTTTGTTGCTAAATAACCACTCACGTCTTTTTCTAGTAAAAGATCCAAATATGAAACAGCTGTGTCAGACTCTATGGTATATTTTATTTCAAGCTCACTGGGATATATCGTATTTTTTCAAGAATGGAAATAATTGTTAATTCACAATATGTCATCTATATATCTAAATATCGAGTTGAAGGCGACAGCAAGTGTTTTCTTCTCACATAAAAAAGATTCTGAAGAAAATTTGCTTGTTATGAATACAAAAATAGGTGTGCTAATAACGGGACGCAAGTGGTACCCATGAGAATTCCAAAAGATTGTTGGAAGACCTGGTCTCCGAAAACTACATAGATATTGTCAATCAAAAACTCGAGCTTCTTTTTAATATCAACTTCAGAGAACTTCTGTGTACAATTAGAATGATTTTAACAAATTAATTTTGCAAATGACGAATGACAAGGGGTAAGTAAATTAACGAGTTCCTTTTTTATTGAAAAAGCAGCTATCAATGATGTCAGAAAGCCTGGACTTTTATTTATCGCGGGGAATGGTTGTGTAGTTAGTGTGTAAAGTTGAAAATTCGCAAGTTTTTAAGCTGTTGAGTTAGGTAAAATCTTGTGATTTAGAAACTTTAAAATCATTAATTAAAAAAAAGTCTACATCACAGACCATACATTCTCTACACTTTGTGCTATAATTCCTCACGATATATAGTCTTTTTGGAACTCGAAAACTTCTCAAGTCCTGTAATTTTTCAGAAGCAAATTTACTTCGTTAAAACAAGCACAAGATTATACCCACTCTGAAGTTGACTGTAATTTTTATCGCGCGCTATAAAACCTTAATCTGACCCAAACCAGGTTATGCTCAAAGAATTAGAGACATTCCTTTAAAATTATAGCGTAGGGATAAATCTTTTTTTATAACAACATTACTTTGTCATATAACTAGGTAACATTTGTTTGGTATCAAAATAAATTTAATTGTTATAATACCCATTAACACGTTTATTTTGTATAAAAACCCACACAATTTTTAAACAAGATAAATATCAAATGATAGATACAAATCAAATTTGAATATACTAAATAGATAAAATAAAAAAAAAGAAAACTGAATGTTTTCAACTACAGGCTTTATGGTAAATTGTCAAAACACAACTAGCTGTTAGAACTATAAACAGAAAACAATAGGATCCTATAATTTGATACACAGCAAATCTATACACAGTTCTATCGCACCAATTACTGGGCTCATGAAGCGGTTGAGAATATGGCGGCTCCCAAACTTCGAATACCCAGTGACTTCCGGTAACCAGCCAGCCAATCAGAAACAAGGTTAGCGTCACGTCCATGAATCTGTAAGTTTGAGAGACGTATAAACCCTCGTGTACGTATGAGTCGTAATAGGAGTCGAGCTGTCGCCTGTACTGCATGTTTCGCCACATTGTAGCCAGGATTCTTAGAATTCCGCAGCACCCGCCCACCAGCAGGTAGATAGGTACACTGCGCTTAACAGGACAGTCATTAATGTACTTCACACCTGAAAAAAAAAAGTTCACTGAATCAGTTAAAGATTAAAATTAAGACATTTACGTAACATTTCTTTCACGTCCGAACTAGTAGTATATTTGCAAGATTGTTTTTATATTTAATCCGAGAATTCTTATCACTGAGACCAGTTTTCTTCATATTGTCTGGCGTGTATTTATAGCATTTCTGTGAATATTTCCCAAATTGCAAAAACAGCCTGCCAAAAAGTTCTGTCATTTTCTGTTTTGTGTGCCAGGTGTACACGTGTGTCTTTTTCTTTCCCTTTTTTTTGTATTTATTTTTTTTCTCTTTCTGTTATTTTCTTTTTTATGTCTCTGTGATGTACTGCTTGCGTGTCAGTAAAGGTGTGACTTATACATGTTATATAATGTATCTCTATCTGTAACATTCCTTATGCATCTGTGCTGTATTGTTTGTGTGTCTGTACATGTATGTACAAATATTTATTTGTTATTCATCTTTAACTGATATGTCTTCTTCATGAGACTGTATGCTGTACTGTTAAAAGTAATTTCTATGTTTATATAGTGCTGCATGTTTTCATTGTTTTACTGTTATGTACATGTTAACAATGTCAGTCAAAAGCTCATAAGAGCTTGTGTTAATTTTTAAGTACCATACTGACTTTAAATAAAGATTATCTTATCTTATCTTATGATAGTAGTGAATGAATGACACTGCTTTGTTTATATTTTCTTATTGGTTTTTATTTATTTTGAAGAAAAATATTTTTATATCACTTGGTGGGATTTTTTACTATCGCAAATTTGCTAAAAATTTATCTACAGCAAAAATTTCCAGATTTACGGGGGGGGGGGGGGGTTTTCATGTCAACTCTTCCACCACTCTCCCATGAGACTGTGTGCTGTATTGTTAAAAAGTAATTTCTATGTTTATATAGTGCTGCAATCAAACAATTTCATTGTTTTAGTTGTGTACATGTATATCCCACAATGTGACAATGACAAATTTCTCATCATAATATATAGAAAATTTACCAACTATAGCATTGCATTGTGTTAATTTTTAATATTTGTGGGACCATACTGAACTTTAAATAAAGCTTATCTTATGACATTTTTTCTCCCATGGGAGAAACGTATTGTTGATGGGACTAAATGATATTTGTTTTTAAATATATTTTGGATATCATAATTAGACTGAATCATATAAAAATATAAAGGAAGAAAAAAAAATACCATTTTACTAACCATGATAATTTCAAGAATTAAACTTCATTGTCTTTTACTGTTTTGTCGTTACCCAAAAGTATTACCTTTATATTTGATTTAGCTTGATTTTTATTTTACATGTGTATTTTGTTTAAAAGTTAGAGTCTTACCTAAGAAAATCATGGCAACTGGTAACGTCAACGAAACACCCACTAGGACTGTTATGAATACTGTAAAAAGAAATAAAAAAATGAATATAACATAAAAACTAAGAAAATTACAAGTACATTCCAGTGAAGATTTCATTGTGAAGATTTGTTTTGTTTCAATGTACGGATAAGGAATTCCGTGATGGAGTTTTATGATATATTTTGTCTGCCTCTGACGGCTGAATGTGAGTTCAGTGGGTGATGCTCTGATTAATACAATGTACATTTTATGTGTTCATTTCCGGTCCGTCGCGGAGAATCGGCTTTTATGAGCAATAGCATTTTCTTTTCTGCCTTCCTGATTAAACGAATACGTTTGGGAGTATACATGACTTCATTTCATAGCATCTATACAAATTAGAAAATAACGGATAAATTGTTGCAACTACAAATTTGAATCCTTAATACTGTACGTAGATCTAATTAAAATGTATATTACTGTCGATCTTCAATCACTTATTTTTACACAACACTTGTTTAATAATTGAAAATTCTTCTTATTAGTTCTCTTGATGAAATATATAGTAATATGGAGATGAAAAATATTGCGATATTGATCAGTATTCAGGCCTAAACGTCCATTTAATAATACAAATTTTGAAGCAAAGCAAACACGGACTTAAAAAACATAAGAGGTGGAATCAGGTGCCATGGAGGAGCGAGCATCCCCTGCAGACCGGTCACACCCGCCGTGTGCTCCATGTCATGATCTAGAAATAACGGAAAAACCTGTCGGCAAATCAGTGTGAAAATTTGTATGAAAAGTGTCAGCGTTTGATTTACTGATAGATTGTAGTATAACGAACAAATAGTATTCAGGCTCCAAAGCCAAAATACTAAGCAGTAGGAGACCTATACGGAAGTCTAAAACATCAGCAATGTGATCTGGTGCCTTGATGGAATAAACATCCTCTGCCGACTCGCCACACCTACCTTGTGCTTCTAGATCGGGAAATAATAAAGAAAATCTGTGAACAGTTCAGTGTCTAAATAATGGCCTAGAATTAGTAAGGAAAACATCTGTCAGCATTTCACTAAATGATAAATTGAATTTGCTGACATGGTCATTGTATCGATCATAGTACTTACAAATTGATTACCTAAGACGAATCTGTTGACATTCTTCTATCATCAACCTTTTTTTGCCAATAATTTAGCTCGTTTTAGAAATTGTTCATACGTAGAGCATCCTCTTGTGTATCGAGTTAGCTGAAAAAACCCTGTATACATGTGATAAGACTATATTGCTGTATAAGTAAGGAGATCGACGATTGAAAAGTTAGAGTCATCACGTTGGTGAAATGCTAGTTGTTTCCATTAACACCCTTTTTCTAGTAAAATATCCATATATGAAACAGATGTGCCAGAATATGTCGTATCCTTTATTTTAAACACCATGAGGTATCGTGTCGACATTTGAATGGAAATATCTATTGTTTAATGATAATCCTTTCTGTATATATACATGTATTCAAATGTCAAGTTGAAGGCCACAGCAATAAGTGTTTTCTTCTCATATTCAAGACCTTAAATAAATTCTGATTTATATGAATGCCAAATTAAGTTTGATTATATTTAGAAGACACAGTTTCCAAAAACCACAAAGATATTGTCAAGCGAAATTCGAGCATCTCTTTATTACCAACATTAGCGTACGCATGTACACGATCAAGAAATAAAAAAACCCAAAGCATTGTCTGTAGATTGTATTTTTACTCATATTTATGATGTTTCATTAGATATTAATATTAATGTATATGTATTCCGAATTGATATTGCATTATGATGATTTTTCCAGTGTTATTGATGGTATATATATCACATTTCTGAATATTTTACGGTGTGTTACAAATATTTATGACGTTTGTTTATTAAAGCCGCTTAATCCGAAACAGGCACATATCATCTTACACAATAAAAGTACGTCATTACATAAATAATATATAAAGATAGATTTAATTTATAAGATTGATTTAATAGCTTATTACAACAATCCTTACAAGGAAAACATAGATCAAAAACCTTATTGGCAAACAGAAGTTCCTGACGGGAAGTTAAGATCAGTTGTGAAGTCACCTTGGAAAAAACATATATATATCGGTTATATCTAAAGTATGAAAATAATTCAAACCCGAGTATTTTTTCCATTAGTAGAAGCCTAAGTCATGATACATCTTTAAAAAAAATTAAGAGATTAATTGAATATAATTCATAGTAATTTTTATATGATTATGCATATCTAAAGAATAAAGGAAAATCAGATATTATAGGAAGTTTACTAACGAAGGCTAAAATATTGGTGTACAGGTTGCAGGTATAAGTACTTTGTTGTGAAAAAAAAAATGCTCGGGTTTGTTCTTCATGAGATACGTAGAAGCGATAAATTTAATTTTTCGAAGGTGATTTCACGCGATATCAACATTAGGATTATTTTTTGTGTGACCTAACAAAATTATTTTTTTAACTTTTGAATTTCGGTATCATTTAAAAGAAAAAGACTTTGGGGATATAATTTGACAAAAGTTGAAACAATTTATTGACAATTTTTTTTCAAGATGAAAAACCAATATTTTTTGCGATTAGAATCGGACTAAGCGGCTTTAAGAAATCACGGTCTAGTAAGTATAGTATGCCAGGGCATCAACGATAGTGGAAAACATGGAATAATTTGCATAACGGGGGAAGCCCATTATGCATAAATTATCCCATGTTTCCCACTATCGTTGATGTCCCTGGCATACTATACTAACTAGACAGTGATTCCCTATATTTCCATTTCACTGTGAAATAAAATCGTAGACTTTAAAAATGTAGACATAGATTTAAATTACACGAGGACTCCCATGCCAATTTTGATAGTCCTCGCCCACTGACGCCAAACACAAAGGCAGGCGCACGAGATTTACATGCATATTTGACCTCCTTAGCGTCAGACACAGAGACAGATGCGCACGAGATTTGAATGCATATTAGGCCTCCTTAGCTCCTGACCTCGACCTGCCTAATTTACATTCCGGTAGAATTATCAAGAAATCAACTCCACTAACTTTCAAAGAGTTCTCACAGAGAAAAAAAAAATCAGAAATGGAAATATTTGGAAACTAAGATAGTTTCTGTCTATTTACACTGATCAGATATCAGTTTTAGATAAATGTTTTTCTTTTTCTCTATACATTTAAACATACAAAGAACAAGGTTCACTTTTGCCTTATTTGGCCCTGTGAATTACTGCAAAACTGAAACTGCATAGTTTTACTTAACAATGCATTAAATATCACTTAGATCTTTGGTGACTGCGTATTTATAAAAAAATGACGTCATTATTTTGGCTAGTCAATGCATTATGACGTCACTAAATGCGTCAATTTCCTCATATTCTGAAAAAAGTCTACAAAACAGCCAATTTTAAAGCTATTTTTTTATATTTAATACAGAGCGCAACCTCTGATCTAAATATGCAACTAGTAAATGATAGAATTGTTTCTGAGGATTAATGGACTTATTTTATTTTTTAGATCAGAGAGTGCGCTCATATAATTTTTTTTTCACTGAAAGTACTCAATTATACCTGTTTATCTACAAATTCAAGAACATTGCAATTTCATAAAGCCAGTTCTCCCAGATCTGGACTTTTAGGAGAATTTTTTTTAATAGGAAATGAAAGCACCAAATCTCTATTTTATTTTAATGCTTCAAATAGAAAATCAAGTGTTGATCAATTAATTGGTATATCTACAGGGCCATTTTATGCATAAAGTGAACCGACTTCTTTATCATTCAATTTATGAAGAAATGTCAATGGTATATTTGCCTGTACCATTATTCTTAACATCAGACAATACTTTTTTCTCTATTATTAAATGTTCCTTGAAAAGTTCAATTGCATACAAAATGTCTTTTATACATGTATATACATATTTTTTCCCCTTGAAACAGATTCATGATTTGGAATTCAAATACCTTATTTTAATAGCTTGAGAGGGTACAATTGGTCCCTGGAATATTTCCTGGCTATTTCTAGTCATTGTATGTCTTCGATTCCTTCTTATATTTACTCTTCATGATTTGTAAAAATAATTTTGCCAAAACCTTACACATAGAAAATTTAAAAAAAATCTTTTCAGCTATATGCCTGCCTGTGTATGACCATCAATAATATTATAATCAAACTTTTACTCTTGAAGTGTCATTTATGTTGAAATTATGTTGAGGCCCTCAATGACAGAAATACTTGATAAACAGCTATCATTTTAGATCCCTATAAGACCCCTATACTGTTCGTTATCTCCATATCCCTATCATTAAATATTGGATGAAATTCACCTGATGTATCCCCCAGCTAAAAATTCATCATTATCCTAGACACGGCAGATAAATTATGGCCTTTCTAATACCTATCGCTACAAACTTAAAATCAAATGTAATTAATGTATTCCTCTATTGGAAAGCAGAAGATAAAATCAATATATGGACAATTCTTGGAATTACATCTTCTTTATATTTACGGGCTTCATTTCATACATCTTAAATTAAGGCTCATTAATACGAGCATTTTGTTTTTAGAAATGAATCTCTTCTATAAGTCATAGAGCATCGAATAGTGAAAGCTGGTCGATTCCATCAGGAGAGGCGCTACGGTTCGTGCTTTGTAATCTAGACAATGTTCCTCTAAGGCAAAACAATACTCATTTACGGAACTACATCCTGCTAAGGCCACACAAAAACAGAGGGATTTCATTAAGTCTTGGTGAAGAATCTACAATCTATTGCGAGAACTATACTTAAGAATGAACGATCACTTTCTTTGTTCGCTTGCAAGGCTTCAGCGTAAAGTGATTCAATGCCGTATAGAGCGTGTATTACAAATTATTGAACATCTATAGTCATTTAAAACTATTCAAAACAACAAAGAGTGTTTGAAGTATTCTCTTGAACATGCAATGGAACTTTTATTTGTTGCTAATGAAAAGGGAGATTCATTCAAAGAAAGTACCAATCCATTTCAAACACACACAGCAATACAATTAAGTCAAAACACTGCCATTTTTATGAAAAATCCTGGTAGCAACCTTTCGATATTATCACTCCAGTAATTTTGTATTTTGCTCAAATATTTAAAAAAAAAAATATGAAAGAAGTCGGTTCACTTTGTGCATTGAATGGCCCTGTACATGTAGATGTACCAATCAAATGATCAACACTTTATTTTCTATTGGAAGCAGCATAATAAAATAGAGACTTGCTGCTTTCATATTCTATTTAAATTTTTCTCCTAAATGTCCAGGTCTTGAAGAACTGGCTTTATAAAATTGCAATGTTCTTGAATTTTTAGGTAAACAGGTAAAATTGAGTACTTTCAGTGAAGAAAAATTATATGAGCGCACTCTCTGATCTAAAATATAAAATATGTCCATTAATCCTCAGAAACAATTCTTTCATTTACTAGTTGCATTTTTTAGATCAGAGGTTGCGCTCTATATTAAATATAAAAAAAATAGCTTTAAAAATTGGCCAGTTTTGCAGACTTTTTCAGAATATGAGGAAATTGACGCATTTCGTGACGTCATAATGCATTGACTAGCCAAAAAATGACGTCATTTTTTATAGATATATAGTCACCAAAGATCAAAGTGATATTTAATGCATTGTTTAGGAAAACTATGCAGTTTTTCAGAAATTCACGGGGCCAAATAAGGCATAAGTGAACCTTGTTCTTATAAGAGAATATGAACTTTAATGTAGTTTAAAACTAGCCTATATATTTTTTATGTAGTTTAACATAAGCTTAAGTATATGAAAAGAGCTTCTAAACTTCTTGCATTTATATATATTTTTTAAATTTTTTTGTTAGTGTTTGCTATACGTTTATTGTATTATTTTATTTATTGACTTTATTATCTGTCCTTTGTATAGGTAAGTGATTTTATTCAATATCAATGTGCTTATCAAAACTAAATATATAAAGATAACGAACAGTATTCAAGCTCAAGTCCATTAAACAATATAAAATAGGAGCAGAGATAACACAGACCTACAAAACATCAGATAATTATGGGATAAGGTGCCATGTAGGAGTACTTAACCCCTGCTGACCGGTCACACCCGCCGTGTGCTCCTTGTCATGATCAGAAAACAACGGAAAATTCCGTCTTCAATTCAGTGGGTAAATACTGGATTAACAACTAGTATGAAAAACGGCAGACAGCATTTGAATCAATGATATATTGTATTTGCTGACAAGGTACCAGTAATTGTAATTGTATCGACCAACGAACTTACGAAATGAGATAGGACTGCTGATATTCTTGTTTCATTAAGCTGTTTGTCAATAATTTACCTCTTTTTTGAAATTGTTCATATGTAGAACATGCTCTTGCTTATCGAATCAACTGAGAGATATAAATTCCGAATGCAGGTGATGAAGGTATGTTGCTGCATAAGTAAGGAAAGTTGACGATTTTAAATTAAAGTCATAACGATTATCAAAGTGCTTGGTTGTTAGATTACCATTAACGTCTTTTTCAAGTAAAATATCAAAAAATGAAACAAATGTGTCAGACTCTGTGGTATCAAGCTCACTGGGATTTATCGTATAGACATAAGAATGGAAATTACCATCTATTCAAGGTGAAATTTTGTTCGTGCCTCTCCTCACAACCGAGGAAAGATAGAGTTATGAAACTGTAAGGTATATATAAAAAAGAACTATATGCGGTATATTGCATATTTTTCCCCTCATAAAAGTCAAATTTTGAAAAATTCTTGATATGTGCTGAATTTTATAAATTGTATGAGAAATATAAATTAACAGATCATATAATAGTTTCAAAGTAGTTTATTGACAATTTTTGTTTTTATGACGTCACAAACTAGTTCGATTTTTTGTCTTTTTTTAGAAAATGGACAAAATGGACAAAATTTCAACAATTTTGGCTTTAAAATTTATAGAGCGCAAGTTTGCTCAGGAACAATATTTACATATTTCATTGAAATTATCATTCTACACATAGTATGAAAATATTGAGCCTGATCAAATCTGCTCTCGGTGATTTTTACTCAAAATATCGACGTAAAATATACATTTTTCTGTACAAATCATGGAAATTTTAAATTTACGTCATTTTCGTGACGTCATTTCAAATATATGACGTCATTGTTAATGAAAATATTCAGTGTTTTGAAGTCAGCATATATTCCCCTGTTTAAGAACATAATTAAATATTTCTCCATCAAAGTTTGATTTTAAGGGGCAAATATTGGTTATTACCGAATAAAGTTCTTTGCTCTGTAAATGTGGATCCGATTTTCTGTTTGTTTTCGACATCACTCCCGTTTTCCACAGGAAGTAAAAAAAAATGCTTTTTAATTTTTTTTCAATTCATATCCACTAGAAGTTTTTTCTTTTAAACTAAAGATTTTCAAAAAATGCGTACTTTTTACCGAAACATTAAAGAAAAATTTGTACACACTCCTTGTGGAGTAATTTTGAATAATTCAAGTTCTTATTTCATTCAATTTTTACTTGTTCCTCCTTCTCTTTAAATGAAACTCTCACAGTCAAGATCGTAATTATAAATCAGACTGTGAGCCTAGTGGTTTCTTTACAACGATCTTTGCTCTAGTTGTTCTTATTTGTAACATCTTAAATCTCCTGTTATATAGCAGTTATTTATTGACTGAACAAGACAGAACTTAAAGGAAGAATGTAAGTTTTACAGAGTACACTCCTTGAAAGTTTTTAACATAAAGCAGATTTTTTTACCTGTGTGACAGATGATATTTTTGCTACGTGACAGAAATTGGCATGTGTTGTTAGAATCATGACTTGCTTCTTTTAGCTGCAGGAGAATAGAACTATAACCTGCGTCTGACCCTTGACCCCTGCTTGTCCGCCAATCAACAGATGTGTTCCAAAGGCGTCTTTCATCATCAAATGACTGTAAAGTGAAAAAAAAATTTGAAAATCAATGATTAAAAGTTCTGTTAATATGAGTAAGGCATAAACATTAAACCGTTAGAAATAAGTGGTTAAGCAAACACATTATAAGAAACACATATTCTCTCCAAAGAACTCAATTTTCTGGATGTGCCGAAAAATATTCTGCGTCATATTTTGACGACATGTACAGGAACTGTTTTACATCCAACGACATCTTTATATTAATATTTTCTAAATCTCTCTACATAGGCATTAACCCGTTACATGTATTCATTCATCTTTATATTTCTAAAATTAGCGCCATAAGTACTTAAGCTGAAGATAACGAACATTATGGCCAGCAGAAATAACGGCCATTTTGATGCGGAATTTTAAATGAGCAAATAGAAATTGCAAATATAAATGTACAATTACATTTTTTACAACGACTTGACTGGGTAATTCAGCAAAAATATTGTAATTTTTTTGATTATTTAAGGAATGAAGCTTATTTTAATCTATGTTATACGATATAACTTAACTCGGGGCAATTTACGCTTTTTAAACCGCGAAGCTTTCCCCTATAACTTAATTTCAGTGTAGACAGTTAGACAATAAGACAATTTTTCCTCCAAAAATGGCGTCAAACGGAGCATATTTTAAAAATAACGCCAAGCGGAGTAATAAGTTTTTGACATAACTAATTGTGACGTAGACAACTTATATTAAATGATGTAGATAAAATCTTTATCCAATCAATTGACGTGTTTCATATATAATTTAATTATTATCAGATGGTTAAATAAATGCTGTTAATCTGAAAACATTTATAATACCTATATTTGTATGAAAAAAATTTTTTCTTGAACAAAAGGAGAAATATGGAGAAAACGAACAGTCATTCACGTTAGTATATCAATCTAAACAATACAAAATAGGAGCTAAGCTAACACGGACCTCAAAAACATCAGAGTTGGGATCAGGTGCCATGGAGGGAAAGGCATTGCCTGCCGACCGGTCACATCCAACAAGTGCTTCTTGTCATGATCGAGAGAAATGTTTATATCGGATTCCGTAGAGAATTCAGTGTCTAAATAATAGTCTAACAATGACTGTTAAAACATTAAGCACGATTTGACTGAATGTTTGAATGTATTTGCTGACACGGTCATTGTATCAAACTTAAAAATGATGATTGTAAGAATGAGACTATTGATATTCTTGTTTCATAAACTTGTTTTTCAATAGCTTGCTTCGTTAGAAATCGTTCTTAAGTTGAGCATTCTCTTGCATATTAAATCATTTGAGAGACATAAAGCTAAACTTTCAAAAATGGCCAATTGCCTGGAGGTAATCTTTTGGAGAATTCTTAATATTTAAAAAGTGAGGACGGCAGGTGATTAAATCAAGAATCCTTAAATTTTATTCCTTCAAAATGATAGATTTAAGGTCCTTTTTTTAAAACTTAACTTACTTCCCGGTAATGACGTGTCCAGCAGAGTTTTAGCGTGAAGGAGAATATGCACACGTTGGAGATTTTGTTTCAGATGGTCGTCATCAATTTCCCGCAGAGTTTCTTGTACTTTTTAAAGTTTGCAACGGTTGATGTATATATGTAATACAAGGTTAGGTTTTGTCGTATGAAGAAACCCAGGAATGGACTCTTACACATGACTTTCATATTTACAGAGACTGGATTTTTGATAGTTGTAAAATTGATTTCTATGGGAAAAACATTTTTAGAGTTTAATGAGCAAATCTTGCATTAATCCTAGTGTGGAAGTCCCTTAATTGTGGCTGGAAAATGAACAATTTCAATGGAGTAGAGTAATTTACGATATTTTTTATATCAAAGCATCCTCGTGCAAATATATTGAATTTTTGATGACAAAATCCTCACACTTTGGAAATAATTGTCGTTAGAATTTTCAGAAATGGTAGTTGTTAGCAGTAAAATGTGACAGAAGAGAGATATAATTATACATCATAATGCAAGATTCATGGGCAGTGGAAACCTCTGTTTCCACTACACCCTTTTGTTATCATTGAGATTCCGTTAATGAGGCCGTCTTTCTAGATTTTTTTGCATTAATATCTTGTTTGTCACGCTGTCCTGTCCAACTTCCGCTGAGAGGTTCGGCAGGACTCTTCTTATTTCCATTTATTATAATCTGTTCCTGACAGAATTTTTCAGAGTCTTTTCCCAGTAAAATTAACAAATAATTACAAAACACCTAAAATATGCGTGTGAATTTTTTCCTTTGAATTTAAACAAAATATTTTTTTCTTTTAGTATAATATCAATTGTATTTATACTTTACATACAATACCAATAAAAAAATTCTACGATGATGTCTAAAATTAATACAACATCCAAATATGAACTGGTCTGCAACAGTCTCCGAGGTATTTTTTTTTTCAATTCGAGTTCAATGGAATTCCATTTGTCAGCATTAAGATATGAAAAAAAAATTTAAAAGAAATTTAAAAAGCGACAAATAAGAAAGTTGATTAAATCTCCTTCATGAAAATACAAAATAAGAAGGATTAATAAAGGGGTATATATTTTTTTCATTAGAATTATAAAAGATTGTTGAATGACCTAGACCGTAGCTGTAGCTTTCGGTTCAGTTTAGAAATGTACGTAAAGTAAACTTTGTGCATCTAATAAATTCAGTAAAAAAAATCGAACAAACAAAATTGTGTTAGTAATAATGGTATATTTCTGGAAGTTGATGAATGGAAATTTGAGGCCATCATGCTTATCATAAAGTTTTGTTGTAATATTTGCAATAACGTCTCTTTACAATAAGATATCTAAATACGAAACGGATGTGCCAGACTTTTGGTTTTTTTTTTTTTACATAGAATTTTACGTAAAATATTGTATCAATATAGGAATTAATATAAATAATGTTAATCTAAGACACGTTTTCGATTTACCTATTTGTTTTTTGATGACCATGGCAGGAGATACTGTGAAAAAATTAATTTTCGTGGGGGTTTAATTTTCGTGGTTTTCGTGGTATGAGGAGACCACGGATTTATGTCCTCCATGAAATGTATTTTTTCACAGATGTTACTACTCAATGATTCTTCTTCCACGAAATTAAATCTCCAAAAACCCATATTTTTTCTCAAACCACGAAAATTTGTCCCCTCGAAAATATGTGATTTTACAGTATTCTTTTTATTTAGATTATCTTCTGTTCATTAAATTAAAAAAAAAAACATGTCTTGCGAAAAAAGGGGCGCATTCAATATACATGAGATAGAATTAAAAGATTATTTGATCACTTGATCTTCAAAAATAACATATATAGTGCTAATGAGAGTACTTGTTTTTATTTTTTCTGAAGGTTAAGAAAGTAATGTTTTAGTGCTTTACAAATTTTGAAATTTCTATTTTTCTTTCAGTTGACTGCAGTTTTTAAGAAACTACACTTTATTCTATGTAAATACTTCGCTTACTACTGCAACAAAACACCCTAATCACCAGTATATGGGGTTTATATCTCTCAGTTGATTCGATATGCAAGAGCATGCTGTAAGTACGAACAATTTCTAAATCGAGTTTAGTGATTGACGAAAAAGTTGCTGAAATAAGAATATCAATAACAACAGAAGTGGGATCAGATGCCATGGATGAGTGAGCATCCCCTGTCGACCGGTCACACCGGCCGTGTGCTCCTTGTCACGATCAGAAGATGGGAAAATCCATCAGCAATTCAGTGTGTTAATAATGGTCTAACATTAAGTTTGAAAACCGTCAGTAAGCATTTGACTTAATGATAGTTTGTATTAGCAGAAAAGGACAATGTATCGATCAAAGAACATACGAAATGATGACTTGAAAGGAGACTGCTGATATTCTTGTTTCCATTTACTTGTTCCCTCGTTTTAGAAATGAGAGCATGTTCTTGAGATCTCATTGTTTATTTGTGTATATGTGCCTTTCTTCGGGAATTGGAAGAAAAACCATCTTGCCTAGTTTGAGTTATATATTCTTAATAATTGTTAATGTTTTTGCTTAAATTCTTTGAAGCTGATTCTGTTTTCTGGAGTGATTTGTGTAAAAAAAGCATAAATTTACAAATTTATTTAGTTATCTTCAGTCTGTTTAAAATATATAATGAGACCGCGAGTGTTGGTAAAGGGGTGGGGATGGGGGATTCGAACTGAAGCCTAGTAGTAATATAATCTGAATTAACGTAAAGATGAATATGCTAGAATTGTATCATTACTTTTGTTAAAGATTTTTTAAACCCTCTGTAATACTGATTAATGGGAATGACTAAGATCTCTCTCAGATATTTCTCATGTCAAAACCCTGCAGCGTCACTGAAGTCTTAGACAAATAAAGCAAGATAAAGATTAACAGATTTGAGACATGAGTCTGTATCATTCATCACGGGTTCTTGTTGATATTTGGAAAAATTCTACTAGGTGTTTACTTCAATAACAGAATGTAGTCAACAGTGAGTCCTGACAATAGAAAAGAGTTTCTCAAAATACTGTTAACCAACTTTTATTCGCAACGACTTTATTTAACGATTTACAGCGGGTAAACTAATTCGCGACGAAAATTTTTCGCGATCAAGTCTTTTTAATTCTGTTCTAAATAGACGCATAGCCTCTAAGGACCGGTTCGCGACGAGAAATATTCGTCTACAAATATTGCCATTTGCAGTTTGCACCCAAATCTATATACACAGGTTTAGAATACCCCCCCCCCATAAGAAGTTGACAGAGTTTTTTACCGTCTGTCTACCCTTGTGCAATTTACACTATCAGTAATATACTGTAGCACAATACACTGTATGTATGAATTCGAGGTTTCTTACCCTAACCCTGAAGTTTCTTATTTACAGTTGTTAAAATCTGAGTTAGGACTGTAAAGATAGGAATTTAGTTGAACATTTACAGGAAATGTGTTTACAGAGTATTGTTTAAACGGATTTAAAGAAGCTGAACAATCCAGATAGATCAAGTTAACTCGGCGGACTTGAATGAAAAAATTATTAATGCAGATACTAGTATATTGAATTAGCGTATTTTTCAGATTGTCCGATCAGGACAAACAGCTCACGGCAGTTGTGATCCGTAGACAGGGGATGCTTATCTCTCAATAGCACCTGGTTATTTCTCTGGTTGGTTTTAGGTCTGCGTTTGCCCTGCTTCCATTCCGTTTTTTTTTTTTTTTTTTTTTTTTTTTTAGAAAAATAGACATCAGTCGCCCGAGACTTCATTTAATTTCAATTATTATCATTATGAAAAATCATGACAGTACTTGTTGTTATGGTTCCTCTGATAAATTAATCTGGAATTCATTTTAACAGCATGTTTTAATAGCCCTGTTATGCATGTAGCCATTAAGATTTCCGCATAGTAAAAAAAACTTTTGACTTATTGTTTATTGTTGCATTAAATTGAATTTTGTAATATCGACTTTATAGCCGATTTTCATTCCAAATTTATTGCCAAATCATGCAGTGATGCAGTTTTGGTGTTAAATGCAAAATGTTGTGACACTGACAGCCCACACGATAGAAATTTCCCTCTATGCTCTCAGATTATTGTATAATAGTATATTAAAGTTAATAAGGTCATTGCACCAGCGTTAATCAGACAATACATGCTTTCTTTGTAAGAGCAGTAACGTTCGGCTGTTTAGAAAATGTACATAACTCGCGTTATTATGTGACTTTTTAATCTACGATAGTTTAAATTATTAATATCTTAATAAAGAAATAATTTTCCACCTCTGATGTTTTGGAGGTCCGTGTTTGCTCGGCTCCTATTTTGTATTGTTTTATGGACTGGTGATCTTGAATACTGTTCATTATCTCCATAATTAAATAATTGTTGATGGCAATACTTATTTAAAATATATGTTAGTATGTTAATTATAATATTATCAATATCATACTCATAATATCTATGACATACGTTGGTCTCTAGCGGGGTTTGAACCAAGACACTAGCGATCATGTAGAGAGCACTCCACCGTCTGAGTTACATTAAAAGAATTCTAATTCCTTATCTTAAAGAGAAATAAATTGTAGATGATGGTTACAGTTATTAAAAAAAAATGGTATTGATTTAAAAATCATTATATTTATAATTCGTTCATGTTTTTCGTATTCAAAGAAATTTATATTACTAAACTTTATCATATTCCAAGATATAAACAATATTTTTAATACCCTACTAAATAATTCCATTATTTCTATGTACCTGAGTGCAAAGTGTGACTAGTTTTGCTCTGAAATATCTGATCAATAAAAATTATTATTTCTACTGAATGTCAAATGATTGAATATATGAATAATCATTCCACGGGGACACGACATTTCAGAAAACAATCTGATTTCAATCATATTTTAAGGCAGCTATTTTCCCAGAGATAATGACAAAAAAGTGGACATAAAAGGTATGAGATTGATATTTCTTTAAGTGATTTGCAGCTAGCTGATGATGTCATTTTCTGTCTAAAAATATAGAATCTCAAATATGATATGCCATCGTTTTAAATTTTGAAAATTCATTAAGAAATACTCATTTAAATTTACCGGAATATTTTCGTAAACATTTATGTATTTATCATAAGATAAAAGTACTCACTTGTGACATTGATTAAAAATCAATGTTACATGCGAGTACTTTTATCTTGGTGTCATGCTGAACTTACTAGACTTTGCTGTTGAATACTTTTCTATTGTGTTTATTCAATCGATAATTTACTTTCAAATTATCTTGATAATATAGCTCTTTATTGATGATAAAAATTATAACTGATAAGAATGAAAATCAGGGCAAGTAATAAAAATTTTTCGAATATAATGATGCTTTAGTTGAAAAACAGATGATTAGTGAAAATGACTTAATGGTCTATAAATGTCGTTTTAAGGACATTGTTTATCAAACATGAAAAAGACTGTCATTAAGAGAGGGGTTACAGGAATATAATCACCCACGACTTCTATTTAGTGTGTATTTCCTGCCCACTCAAATGTTGTGACCTTAAGTCAACCATAAATTTCAGTTACGGCGATATGTTTGTTCTTCTTTCGATTTATGTTGTCGCCCGGGTGGCAAAATGGTTAGAGCGTCTGCTCTAGCGACTTGGAGTAAATAGTTGATTCTTATGTTCGTATTTGAATCAAGCTTTGGGATGTGGAGACATGTCATCAGGCTTCAGGGCCATAAAACTGAGACAAGGTCACTTTTAATCTCGGTCTCATTTTATCAAAAGGAAGTAATAATGGAAAATTGAGACTTAGATCAAAAGTGATCTCATCTCAGTTTTTCGGCCCGAACCCTGACGAGGATCGTAAATTGTGGTTTCGTACCACAGTAGTTGTGTTGGCGCGAAAGAAGATCCCCCACTGCTAAGTGTACTAAGAAAATGAAAGAAAAAAAGTCTCAATTTGTCATTAATCATTAACAAAGTAACAAATTAAGTGAAATATTATTTTTAAAATGATAAGCAATAATAAATCGTTCAAACCGATAATTAAGGTAATTTTTCACATTCTGTAATCAAACCGAAACTATCAACGGCTCAAGAATTCTCGTAAGCAATTGACTTTATTAATTTTTTTTACACAGAACTAGATTGTTTGAAAGGAGTTTGGAGAAGGTTTTCTCTCTCTTTTAGATGAATCAAATTTATAACAGATTCCTTGTTGGTGTAGTGATATACTTTAAGTTTTCTATTGAATAATTAGTATTTGAAAAAATGAAAAAAAGTTCACCTCTATACCGTTTAAGAGTATGAATGTTTTAAGCATAAATAGTAAATACGTAATATATGAAATAAAGGAAGATTACGAAATCTACTCAAACTCAAAAGTCCATTAAACAATACAAACTGGTTTGGGACAAAACAGACCTCTAAATCAGGTGCCATGGAGAAATTAGCCTTGTGCTCCTTGTCATGATCGGTAAATGAAGGGAAAATCCGTCGTCAATTCAGTCTACGTATAAATAATGGACTAACAATAAGTATGAAATACGTCAGTCATGATCAGCATAAAATAGAAAAGAAATGAGTTTTCTGTTTGCTTTTTTGGGTGGTTTTTTGTTCAAGAATAAATTCCAATTATACTTTGTTACATATCTTAAAAATAGATAATCTATTATTATGTCAAATTCTGACATACGTCTTTTTTTTTTTTCAAACAAGTTGTTAGTCAATTTCTTTTACACAATGAGTTGTCGATGGATGTCAATGGTTTTTTGTTATTTCCCGATCATGACATAGCACAAAGCGAGTGTAAACGGTCGGCAGGGGATGCTCATTCCTCCATGACACCTGATTTTACCTTTTGATGCTCTAGAGGTCTGTGTTTTCTCTCCTTCCATTTTGTATTGTTTAATGGACTTTTGGTTTGAGTAGATTTCGTTATCTACGTATATTTCATATACTATTTAAGATTGGTCGTAAGTGCAATTACAGATTAAAAATACAACTGTAAAATTCAAAAGAAAGCTAGAATATAGCTGAATATAATCTTTCTGTAGAAATCACTCAATCCTAGGTGAACTCGTAAGGAACCTGCCACTATACACCATACCTCATATAAATAACCGCATGTAAGATCATTTTTGTCCTCTATTTTTGTTGCCCGCTTGGTCCTTTTAGACCTCTGAGGCGAATTTATTTTGTTAAAAAAACTGTACCTGAACCAATTCCATGCGGGGAAATTAATCTATAGTGCCGTATAAATGTTCGGCATAAGCATCACGAGGCGAAAATATACCTTAAGAAATAGTTTAGCATTGCCAAATCCATTTCATGCGATGAGTAGTCCTAATAAAAAGTTTTTATTATATTGTTTTGTGCCTAGGGTTATGTATCTATTGATATATTCAAATATATTCATTGTAGATGAAGAAAACTTGAATGATTTCAACGAGGAAAGTAATCTAAAGCAAGATACAAAAGCACCGGTTTGTAATAGTGCATACAGGCAAAAAGGAATTTTTCTTCGATTCGGACTCTTGTCCTTTTCAACGGCTTCTGTAAAGTCTTTTTATTCAAAATATCTGCCCTGATCTTTATTACTATTCGTTATCTACTTACGTCTCTTTTGTTATGTGCCTTTTATTATGATTCTATATAATATTCGCGTTTTCTGATTAATTAATGAGGCAAAATAGTCTAACAAGTTCAAAGTACCACATTTTACGCATTTTCATACTTTTTCTAGCTAGCTTGCACGGTAAATGTATCTCTTTAGAACCCAAAATAGTGTACACTTTAATTTGAAGATGCTAAGATCTATTTGGACATTGCATTATTTTTTCAAAAAAGAAAATTAATTGTTACTGAACTACATGTAAGAAAAAAAATTGAATAAGATTAAGAAAACAAAATTTTCGGTAAAAGTACTCACCACGACAGTACTGGCGACACTCCTGGCAGGGGATGCCTGGGGGTGCTCCTTCTGTATCCCTGTTATGACCGGCTGGGTCTTCACAGAAGGAGCAGACGACTCTCTTTTTATGGAGGGAGGCTTCTTCCGGATAGATCTCTTGATCGAGTTCCGGTTCTTCCGGACCATCGTTCCTTGTCTTGACAAAAGCGACATTTCTTTTTCAATTTCACTTTGTATCAGTGTTTCTCAGTATTTAAATAAACATTTCAAATAAAGCATTCAAAGTTTATCATGCTGCCATAGCGATAAACTTAAAAATAACATTATTCCCTTTTTAATCTGAAAATTGAACGCAAAGTCGAAATAGGCGATTGTATTGGCAAATTGATATTCTTAATGAACGAACGCGGTAGAATCTTCCTCTCTCTATGGCTGTAAGAAACATGACAATTTGAAAAGCAACGTTCATATTGGTGACAGGAAAGCTCGACAATTCCCAGAAATCAATATATCCAGGTGGGGATCAGCTGAGGATACAAACTGACCATTTGGCTTTCTCTTTAGCTATCGAGGACAATATTTGTCTCATCATGTCTAGAGCTGGTATTATGCAGAAGTTTATTCTAGGCGTTCTCTAAGGAACTGATGTTGTAGTCAAAGAATGTTATAAATTAATTTAATTATGTAAAGAAGCAAGGTCGGCTTATGGCCACATTACGGAGATTTGTAAAGTAAATCTGGTAAAAAGACCTTATAGCTAGTTGCAGCGATAATTACATAAAAGCTCTAAGGGAAAATTCTTTGAGTAAGAAAAAAAATTAAATATGTGATGAAAAACCCAGAGTTTGACCCGGAAATAGATATCAACACCAGTCTTTGTAGAGATTACTAAATTAACAGAACAAAAAAATAATTCCAATTCAATGGTTCATTATAAGACATATACGTAAGACCTCAATATTATACAAGAAGATTATTTTCGTAGTTTTCATTGGCTGAAGGGACGTCACGTGATATTTCTCCTTTTGCGATATCGACGTGAAAACGCTTCCGCAGAAAATGATATCACACGACACACCGTTCGGTTGCACTGAAGTTACGTAGAACGTGACGTCATAATATAAGAAGCGTGTATTTAACCATTGTGACGTAAGGACAGCCAAGTCCGTTTAGTTAGGAGTGTGTCAGTGCATTCACTTTGATTGATTATATAATATAACTATTATGGACTTTAGTGAACGGTCAATATGCGGTTATCAGGACTCATGGCAATTGAAATTGACCTCAGACACAGAAAATGATAGTGACCTCGCAGGCTTGGTCGCTATCACTTTCTCTGTCTTCGGTCAATATCAATTGCCATGAGTCCACATATCGACCTACACCGAAGTCCATAATTGTATATTATCTGTAATTGTTGTGAATAAACTCATATTTTAAATTGATTTTAAGATTAAATATAACATTACATGTTCAAGCTCACAAATAATAAAGACAAAAATCATATTACGTACATGTTCCTCCTCAGTGTATTTTAGATTGCATGGCATAAATCACACGTCAACTTACTACTACATCAAATGATTCCAACAAATACAAATATATGGAGATAGGCCTATCCAACAGTATTCAACCTCTCAAAAGTCCATAAAACGATACAAATTGGAGCAAACACGGACCTCCAAACCAACAGAGGTGGGATCAGATGCCATGGAGGAGTGAGAATCTCCTGGTGATCGGTCACAGCCCCCGTGTTTCCTTATCATTATCGGAAAATCCGTCGGAAATTTCGTGTGTAAGTAATGATCGAACAATTATTATGAAAAAACGTCAGTCAGCATTTGACTTAAAGAGAGATTTTTTTCGGACAATGTAATTGTATCGACCATAAAACTGAAATAATAACAAAACTGCTGATATTTTTGTTTCATTTACTTGTTTGTCAGTAACTTAAAATGTTTTAAAAATTGTCGAATCAACTGAGAAATATAAACCCCGTTTGCAGGTAATAAAGCTTTATTGCAGCATAACTAAGGGAGGCTGACGATTGAAAAGTTAAAGTCATCCCGTTTATCATAAAGCTTTTCGTTAGACTACCATCAATGCCTTTTTTCTAGTTCAGTATCCAAATAATAAACAGATGTATCAGACTCTGTGGTACCGTTTATTTCAAGCTCACCGGGATATATCGTATCGGCATAAGAATAAAAATAATCATTGTTAGTTGACAATACGTCGTCGTCATCTTTGAATTTCGAGTTTAAGGCTACAACAAGTGTTTTATCCTTTTCACATATAAGATTATGGACAATTCTGCTTCATATGAATATAGAAATAGGTTTGCTAATAAATAGCACAATTGGTACCCATGGGAATTCCAATTGATTGTTGAAAGACCTGGTCTCAAAAAACAATATACTAGTAGATATTGTCAAAAGAAACTCAAGCATCTTTTTGATGGCAACTTCGGAGTACTTGTGTGCTTAATTAGAATGTGTTTTAACAAAATAACTTTGCAAATGACCAGTGACAAGGTAAGTGAATTTACGAGTTCCATTTTATTGAAAAAGCAGCCGTCAATAATATCAAAAAGCATGGACTTTAATTTATAGAAAGGAATTTATGTGTATAAGGTTAAAAAAAAGTTAAAAAGATTTAAGCTGTTGATTTAGGTAAAATCTTGTGATTTAAAATTGTCCAAATGTTCCTTGGAATTTTTAAATATCCACATCTGATTTACGCCATATTCTCGAATATATTGTTGCATAGTATTCTGAAGTTTGTCCTTTATTACTGTTAATATGTTAGTGAGGAGTAAAGAAAGAGGCTTGGTTGAACATTTTTGAGTGGAAAGCTAAGGAAAATTGTGTTAATCACTAAAATGTGTGTACAGACACAGTAACATTATGTCAAAGCATCTGCTCCTGCATAAGGTGACGTGATTTGCAAATGACGCCATAAAAGCCTTACTGACGCATGGCCTCAGAAGTAGAATTTTAAGGGGAGACAGGACACATGTCACATGACTAAAAAGACATATTACGTCATAATCGGTGATGATATATATGGTAAACGTTGTTAAAAGCAACAGTTCTTGTGTAATTTTATTCTAAATTCTAAAATTGTTTTTTAAACATTTAATTTTAGAAATTATTATTATTAAAATTTTCAAAGATCTTGCCATCATTTAGATAATATTTACATTCAGTGTAATTTTCTTTATGAAATCCATTAGAAATCCACGACGTTCAAATCTCTATAACACACGCGAAACCTTGTCACCGCGCGTTAGAATACACAGAAGGGACTATATGCATTTTCAATACTTTATAAACACCAACATGTACATTGTTTGACACAATTTAATAAAGAAAAATTAACTCTATTGAATTAACGTAAAAATACAACAAATGTGCATTTAAAATTAATTTCTCACTTTTTTCCTCGCAATGTTCGTTTGCGTTATTTAACTTTACGACGTCACAAACGGCTCTTACGTCTATAAAGCACACCAGTTTTGAAGGGCGCTTAATTCACATTAAAGTTTTCCGAAATAAACAATTATGAAGAGGAAAAATTAAAGAATGTAAATATAAATATGGAATTCATATTTTGGGATGTCTTCGGTCCTATAACACACCTGGCCGTGCCGACAAATTATCATACCGCGCTACCGCGCGGTATTCAATTTGGCGGCACGGCCAGGTGTGTTGTAGGACCGAAGACATCCCAAAATATGAATTCAATACTTGATTGTGAAATTGCCCAATCCACACATTTGTTTCTCTTTACCCTGCAGTCTGACGTCAGTGACGTCATACACGTAGTGTTTGAATTCTCAGTGAAGCGAGATCAAGTACACACACCCGTCATGATCAGTTTTATTTCATAATAAACAGGTCACAGTCAATGTATCGTGATAAATTTCTGAAGCAGATTTTTTTAAATTAATATTTTTTCGTGTTTAGTAGCAGATATTCTCTCTATTTAGATAATTTTGAATTTTTATGTTTTCGTGTGACGTCACAATTGATTTCCCGCACTCGGAAAATACGAACGTGATGCGTTTTTATCATGCTTACGTCTAATTCAACGAAGTCCTGTGCGATATTGAGGTAAGCTTCACCCTGTGATATTTATGCAGTAAATAATTACGATGATTAAAACAATTGCTTTTAGATAATTTAAACACTATGAATATTCTGAAATATTTGATTATATAGTGTTATCTATCATATTTATCGTTTGTGCGTAAAAATTCGCATTATGGACTCCGTTATGGGCCCGTAAACATGAAGTATCTAAACTCCATACAAACTCTAAACAGGGCGGTAATTTTGGGGCGATATCTTTTAAATAAGTCAAGAAATCCCATGACAGGACCGTTTTAAAATGTTAAGTACATATTAAATTAGTAATATAAAAAATACGAAAAAAATTCACTGACAGGAATTTTTTCAGCGAAAGGTCCTGTTACTCCTTAATTCGCATTAGTTTACTTCGCATTAGCTGTTGTGTGAACGCAATTTAAGTCGCATTAGTTTGATTCGCATTTATTAACTTCGCATTAATTTACTGCGAATTAAACTCTCCGTGTAAACGGGGCATATAAACCGAGGTCCCGCGTTGCAGTAGGTTTTCGTTCAAAAATGATTGCAGCCCTCCACATGCAAGTGTTGGTGTCTCTATATGTATGAAAAATTCTGGAGATCAACGTTAAACAGCTAGAAATAAGTTTTTTTTAATTTGTTTTGACTGCTTTTATTTTTAAAATTAACATATTGCTGACTTTTTAAAGAAATAAATTGTAAATGATAGTACATATACCTTTTATTTATTTAAAGGAAACTGTCTTTGATCAAGCTTTGATCAAGCTTTATGATAAACGTGATGACTTTAACGTTTCTATCGTCAACTCCCTTTACTTATGCAGCTTTATACCTTCATCACCTGTATACGGAGTTTATATATCTCAGTTGATTCGATACGCAAGAGCATGCTTTACGTTTGAAAAATTTCTAAAACGAGGTAAATTATTGACAATTTGATGAAAAAAGAATATCTTCATTTGGTAAGTTCTATGGTCGATACAATGACCTTGCCAGCAAATACAATTTATCATTGAGTCAGATGCTGACTGAAATTTTTCATACTAATTGTTAGTCCATTATTTATACACTGAATTGACGACGGATTTTTCCGTTACTTCCCGATCATGCATTACAAGGAGTACATGGCGGGTGCGACCGGTCGGCAGGAGATACTCACTCCACCATGGTACCTGATCCCTCCTCTAATGTTTTGGAGGTCCGTGTTTGCTCTACTCCTATTTTATATTGTTTTAAGGACTTTGATATTGAATACTGTTCGTTATCTCCAAATACTTCATGAAAAGAATAAAGTATTTGAAGTATTTCACTTCTGCGTAAAGCCGAATTGATAATTTGATAAATTTTTTACACGAAAAAAAAAAATGTATTTGTGCAATCTAAACAAAGGATTTCTCATTCAGG